GAGCCATAGTGGATTATGAGAAAAATGAGAAGATTGCTGTTTGAGAACTTAACAAATTGTATAATAATAATATTGAGCTTGATGTCAGATTTATGTTTTAGTTTATTTGTTTTTAATTCATGACTTAGATGCCTTCTGAGAGGACACATTAGTTTATTGCAGTTTATGGTTTAGCTCTCTGGTAGGCAAAGTTTATAGTGGTAACACTTGGAAACATTATTTAAGAACTCCTTTGCATACTGGCTGTAATATATCCTTAATATAGATTTTATTTGTTAGTGTTTGACAGCTGATTTATCAGTCAGCCAGTCTGCTTTAACTCTGCTTGCTTGATTTACAGTTTTCAGTTTGTTTGTTTGTTTTTTGTTTGTTTGTTTGTTTTTTAATAGTTTGACCATCACACTCCCACCTCTTGGTAGTAGAACTATGTAGAATAGTTTTCTAAGTGATAGGAACATATGAAAGTACATCCCTGCTTATGAAAAATGCAGACATTCAAAAATTAAATTGGTGTCAGGAAGAGATTTTGCATTATATTTAATGTAAGTATTCCAGGTTTGTTGTAATTTTTAAATTGCAATTTATTATTAGTATATCAGAACGGGTTGCAATATTAGTCTTCAAGCTTGGAAGACTTGCTGTCTTCCAAGCTGGGACTTTGCTGGGACTCAGCTTTTACTCACCACTGCTTTTACTGTCATATTTTAACAGGTGTGAGCAACACTGCCTTTCGTCAGCTGATGGAGTTCACATACACAGCCACACTAGCTGTAGCTGGTGAAGAAGAGGCATATGATGTCTGGAAAGCAGCTGAGTATTTACAGATGCAGGAAGCCATCAAAGCGCTCAACAATAAGTGAGAACTCATCACTTTTGGCTTTAGAATTTACCAGATTTCACTTAAAAAAACTGAATAACATTTGACCTCTTAATTATCCTCTTTTGTAGAATGAATGAAAGCTCTTCATTGACAGCAAGGAGCAAAGGAAAAAAGAGGAAAATTGCTGAGACATCGAATGTGATTACAGAAACCCTACCCTCAGTGGAAGGGGAGCAGGTCAGCATGCTTGCAGTGCACTTTTATAGTCAGCTTGATGTCGTATATTTAGTTGTTAAGGCTGAATATTTTCCCTGTTCTGCAGGTGCAGATTGAAGTTATAGGTGAAGGGCCCATTGAGGTGGAGGAGTCGGGGCTGGAGGAAGTGGTTGATGCGGCAAAGAATGCTCAAGCTGCATCAGATGATTCTGCTTTGGCTCTTCTTGCTGACATAACTAGCAAATACCAGCAAGGGCAACCAACAATACAGGTGATCAAGAAAGGAGGAATAGAAGAGGTATAAAAGCTGAAATGCACATTTTTTCTGATTTCTACTGTTAAAATGATACGCATGAAATAATTAACTCAAAGGTTTTGGGTTTTTTTTTTCTTTCTGTGTTTTTGCTTAGCATGAGGTTGTGTATCATGAGGAAACGGTGACTGCCTCCAAGGTGCTGGAGAATGTCGAGATTGTCGAGGTCCAGATTTCTCAAGCAGACAACATGTTCCGTTGCAACAAGTGTGACCGCAGCTTCAAGCTGTACTACCATCTTAAACAGCACTTGAAAACACACCTGGGCTCGCTGGAGAAGCCCCACGTGTGTAACCACTGTGGTAAAGCTTACACACGAGAGGGTGCCTTGAAGCAGCACGTCAGCACATTTCACTTTGATGCCGAGGAACTGTCTCGAAACCAGAAACCCCAAAAGAAAGTGCATGTTTGTGAATACTGCAAGAAGCACTTTGACCACTTTGGACACTTTAAGGAGCACTTGCGAAAGCACACAGGTGAAAATTTCACACTGTTTGAACTCACTTTGTTTATAATGAAAAGTACGAAGGTCTGGCAACTAAACATAAGTTATCATAGTTGTCCAGTAGATCTGTTTTTGTGTTTCTGACATTGAGACACATGTCTGTCTTTTTGTGCCCATTTTTTAGGCGAAAAACCTTACGAGTGTCCAGATTGTCATGAGCGATTTGCACGGAATAGCACACTGAAGTGCCATATGGCAGCCTGTCAGAATGGGGCGGGAGCCAAGAAGGGACGGAAGAAACTCTATGAATGCCAGGTACAGTTTGTCCTCAATCAGGGCCATCAGGTTCTCACTGAAGGGATTCGGAAAGTTGTTCAATGGGGCAGCACTGAAACTCGTGTCAGTTTTCAAAGTAAAAGTCCTGGTACATACTAAATGTTCCACTTTTGGGGTGAAAAAAGGATGACCCAACTGTTTTGGGTCATCACAGACATGCACCCTTTATATCTGCACTGTCAAAGGAATCTTTTGAGCTCCTTTGTGTCTGTTTATAAGCTACACAAGTTTGTGCATTAACATGTTGAACAAGGTGGGCATGACAAGAAACAGATGTTTTCCAACTCTGAACTATCAAAATACATGTACATGAGAACAAACAGGAATGTGGGACAGGAAAAGCTTTTATGGATATTTGGAAATAATGGCTGAGGTGAGGAGGGGTAGTTATTTCTTTATGAATGTGAGAATTTATCAGTTATTTGTTAGCATAAATCTGTAGTCATTCGTTCAGGACTCGTTCCCACATCAAAGGAAACCAGTTAAGTTGCTTCGGGGTATCTGACTAGGATACCTCCTGGGTGTGGTGTTCTAGGCATGCCCAAACAGGAAGATCCCCCAGGACAGATGAAGGACATGGTGGAGAAATTAGTTTTGTAGCTTGCCTGGGAATTGCTCTGGGTTTGCCCATATCACCCGGAGAAGGTGGCGGGAGAGAGGGAGGTGTGGGCTTCTCTGTTTAGGCTGCTGTCGTATTGTAATTTGTTGTATCACTTGACTCCCTATATTACTGTGCTATGATCATGACCTCTTCTTTTGCTCTCCATCTTCTTCAGGTCTGCAGTAGTGTGTTCAACAGCTGGGACCAGTTCAAAGACCACCTTGTGAGCCACACCGGAGTCAAGCCCAACCACTGCACCATGTGTGACATGTGGTTCACCCAGCCGAAAGAGCTGAAGGCACACCTCAAAGAGGTCCATTCCATCGAGGATAAGTTAAACGACGAACTGGTCATTACTGACTCTGCTGCAACCGCTGCTCTCACCATAGCAGCACAGAACATAGAGGGAGCCGAAACTGTCCTGTTGGAAGACGGCATTCAGGTTGAACACGTCACAGTGGAGCCTGTAGATGTGATGGAGATGGAAGAGACTGCCACGGTTGTAATGGAGGATGGAGGGGTGGCGGAGATGTGTGAGGAGGACATGGAAAGATTAAAACAGGCTGGAGTGCAGATCCAGGTTGTACACGTCACCACAACTGAAGTTGACGGGCAGCACGTGGTGAACTCTCAGGTGGAAGTACAGATGGAGGGAGAGATGGTGAATGTTGAGGAAGCAGAACATGCAGCAGTTGTATGAGAATGTGAAAAAGAGTCTTTAAGGAACTGCTGGACACTCTTAGTCCCTAACAGCTTTATTCTCCTGCAATGGACATTTTATTTTTGGTACACATCTCTGCATGTGAGAAGCCGCATGTCACCTCAGTACGTCCTGATGTCTGTTATGTTGAATGTCAGTTCCCACCGCCTTCACTGCTATGGACAGAGTTATCATTGTCTTGCTGTAGGTGCTGTTTGCCATCGTATGCCATATTCTCAATGTCGGCAGCCCTTCATCAATTCATTTTTGTGTTTTTCTTCAAATGTTTTTTTTTTAACTTGGGTCACTTTCTATGATAAATTGACCCAGATGTTGCTGCAGCTCATATGCTGCAGATTTCTCTTGTTGTTAATAATGATGTTTATTTTATTAACTTTCAGTGGTTTGTAGGGGGAAAATCAGCTTTGAAATAAAACCGGTTTCAAGAGTGGGCTAGTTCTCCAGCTTTATACTTAGATCTTGAAGATTAAAAAATTAACACTGTTTAAAAAAACAACAAGGAAAACACAAAATTAGAAAAGCATTTCAATTAGTGCAATTTCAAAGAGTTCAGTAATACACACCAGGTGTATGGTGCATACATGCATATTGCCTTATATACATCCATTAGCAGGTAAACACAGCTGCTCCTTTATCCAATCAGATTTATCCACCAAGACAAACCCAATAAATAAATAAACATTTAAATAAAAGGATAATGGAGTTGCATATCTGCTGGATGTGATTGTGCTAGAAAATTTAGCCTTTTATTTATTTTGTATCATGGATACATACCTGTACCATATATATTGTTTTTTTTTTAACTTGTACCTTTTGCACAGATTATCCACATAGAACACAATAAAGATGTTGGTAAGTATTTGTTTTAAGCAAAGAAAGTTACTGTAGTTTCATTGTAGGTTTTGGCATTCTGAAGTGAAGACTAAAACGTCAAATGTTTAGTTTATTTCTAATTAGGCATTCGTTTTGAAATGAACGACAACTAGTGTGTCCCGAAGGCAAATATATATATAATGTGTTTGTGGGTATCTGTGGACATGAAAAACGTTTTAATTGTCTCCTGCACAAACTAAAGAATTTTCTATTTTTGTTATCATTTAAATCTACATTTTTAAATTTCTGTTTGCGTGTTCATTAATCTGGACAGCCCACGTAGGTCTCCTGACCCTGCCTTGAACCCTTGCTGCGTTAATAGCCTGTACAGCTATCACGGGGCGTGACACGCAGGTTAGGTTACCTGTTGTGTCTCGCCGCATGCCCGGGACAGCTCCTGAAGTACTGAGTTGAAGCGGTCGTAATTCTCGGCTCTTATTGGTTACGAGATAGACGGCGGACTCCTAGAGACGCCGTTGATTCGTCGGTTCACCCGCTCATTCAGCGGATTTCCTTCACAACAGAGAGAAAGCTGCAGCAGAGCCGGTGAGCTCAATGTCACCGGGTACGGGAGAGGATGGATTTGGGAGCAAGGTCGGTATACATTGTCGCCACGGGCCCATGAAGATGCTCACCCAAGTAAGACCGATTCTCACATGCAGCATATCCGTTCTTTTGGGGTTTTTTTTTACGCTAGTCTTATGATCAGAAGCCTTGGGTAAAAGAGAACTGGCCTGCTGCTTGTAGATATCGCTATCATTGAACGTAAATACTCAGTCATTAGCTAATGCCGTTTAAAATGTTTCCTCGATAAGTGGGTGTTGTTTGAAAACGTTGCCAACAAAATGCATTTTTTTAAAAACCTACATCGAAACCTCAGTTCATATACCCGCTGGCGACCCAGCAGAGCTTTATCTCGTTTTCTCTGAGGGTGGTTGGCTAGAGCCCCTACAGTGGACCCAGATTTTTACTGCACTGGACTTTAATATCTTTTCGTTTTACTTGTTTTTGTTTTTTTTGTTTTTTTTGTTTTTTTAAATTCTGTCACGTATGCACATGCATTCAAAGTTAAAGCCACCAACCCCGCTTGTTGGGGGTTGCACATTTATGCATGAAACCTACAAAATCCAACACTTAACTGGAGATCCACCTAAACTCTGTTCAACTTCTCATACCGCTTTTGACCGGGCTCGATTACATCAGGCTCGGAATGAATAAAGTCTGGCTCTAACACCTGTTGGTTTTTACCAGTGTGTTATGACGAATGCCAGTCATTTCCCCCAAATTCACCTTTTACCTCATCATCTCCCTCTGTGGTAAAGGCTTGGGAGCAGTGCTTTGCTTCCTTATAGCCTGCTCTACTGGTATTCCTGCATTAATAATTTAAAAATTTCCCTCCTGTTATAAGGAAATGATATGAAATTAATAAGTAATACTTTTTGACTTTTCGGTTTGCCCCAAGGAGGAAATACATGGAAGATGTGAAAAGTTAAGCAAGTAATCTGCACTGCATTAAGCAGTGTTTTGCACACTTAAACCTGAAGCTTAAAATTTTTGCTGTCTTATAAAGGCAAGAGGGGGAAAATAGCCTTCTTGAGTTAATTTTATCTCCACTTGAAGCAAAAAAAAAAGTTCTAAAATTATATTTCTTTTCATGATCATTCAGTCAGTGAACATGAAACATTGTGCTTCATGTGTCTTTCTTTGATGCACGCCTCTTTGATGTGCTGACAGTGAATAACATGCAAACTCAGACGGCTCTTTAAAGCCAGAAAACATTAACGACCGAATAGAATTTAGATTTGAAGCACCAGATGCAGGATATATGTTGTTTGCAGCATTGTCCTGTTATTGTGTTCCCCTCTAATGATGTCATGTTGACTTTGGTTAAGGCCTCAGAGATGTAGCCCTCTGTTGCTCACCAAGATGTACTTGAATCTGCACAGTACTGTGTGCTGTGTATTGCCAGGCTTAGGGAATAGTAGCTCAGGTGAGTCGTGCTGCATAACAAGAAAAAAGAAAAACAACATTTTTAGCATTTAATCACAGGAGCAGAAAAGTATATACGGAAACCAATTAAGCAGCGTCTTCGCAAAGCAACTTTGTCAAAGTTATTTCCTTGTAATAAGTTGCTGTGTATCCTTTGAAGCCTCTGCCACTGTGCTTTGGACTGTGTGTGTAAATGTGCGTCAGAGGAGAGGGATTTAGAGGTAACTCTGGTTTTCTTTTCTTTCTTTTTTTTTTTATTGTGAAATATTTGCCCCATAGATTCCAGAGAGGCCTGCTTCTCTGTTCCTAGGGCCCATGGTCCTCATTGTTGAAACTCTTTCACTGTTGAGCTTTTCACTCTTGTCAGCTGTGCGCCTCTGTTAACACACTGGGGAGCTTTGTGTGGGGTGAGCTCGCTGTCTGCACATGTGTATGCTTTCACGTGCATGTGCCTGTCCGAGGAAAGAGTCTGTTAATGTGCGTGTGCACTCAATGAGAGAAAATGAGATACAAGCGCGGGTGAACTGAATGAATGGAAAGCAAAGTGAGGGGTTTTTCAGAGAGGAGGAACTCGTTTACATACAGCAGCTTTGTACCCTTCTTAAGTAAAGACACAAACAGGCATTTTTGCAATAGGAACCATAACAGATGGAAAGAGCAAGTAAATCTTGATCCACAGCTGCTGTGGATGGGCTCTTGTGTTTTCCGTTGTTGGAGCGTCTGAAGAGGCTGCTGATGCTAGCAGAGTGATCAGCAGCTGGCAGACCCTACTTCTTCCCTTTAGGGATCTTAAGACAAGTGACTGGCTGTCTGGTGAGTAAAGAAGGACTCACACGTGGCAGAGCTGATTGTGTTTGCTTGTGAACGCCCAGCTATTTGCAGTCTCATACGCTTTCATACATTTCTATTATTTGTTTTTTTACATTTGGTGCTTCAAACAAGTGAAGATTGCATTCAATATTAAGTCATAGCATTAACTGTACGGGGAATGCAACTAATTTAGAATTTAAAATATTTAGCATTACTTCCTCAAATAACTCAATGAGGAAAATACTCATAACACCTTAGGTCTGTTAGTTTTTCTCATTATCAGTAACTTTCTTTGTTACATGGACAAAAATATCTTTTTTTTTTTTTTCTTCATTGCAATATTTCATTTTTCAACAACTTTTTGCAGCAACAGTAACTCAGTGCAATCTGAGTGGAATCTCAGTGCATTCACCACTGTGAACGGTTCATAAATCCGCTGTTGTGCACGCGTTGGTGTGTTTATGTCTTTCAGTCTGCTCATATACACGATTAGCACGGGTACTCGCAGGCTCAGTGCAACTGTAAATATGACACTGTGTACTCTCTTCCTTGAGGAGATCCAGTTAATGCCTAATCCTCAACCCTACACAAACACGTTTGGTCAGTGTTCATCACTAAGCAACCTGCTAAATGTGTTATACACTGGAAGCCGAGGACAAAGCAATCTCAGTAAATACCCATTTATGGACCTTTTCTGAAGATACTCCAAACTCAGTTGCTATCAGTAGAGCCAGTGTAGTTTACCAGTTGTTTTACTCAATATGGCAAATGTTTCCCTGATTATTACATCACGTTGGAGACTATTATAGTGTTTGTAATGTTAAGAAATGGAAACGTGTCTGTATTTGCATATATTCAGACATATTAATCAATCCTGTTCATTCAGGAATATCCTTAAAGAAAATGTCTGGACAAAAAACTGTTAATAATGGTGATTGGGGTACCAAAACTTTCCATGCTCTCCTTCATTGTTAACCAGTTTATCTCATGCATGGCTGTCCTTTAGTGTTTTTATTTACTCACATAAAAGGCATGTATTCGGCACATGTTGCTTTGTGCTATAAAGCGCGTCTCTCCTCCCTTAGCAAGTCCTTTTAGGCTGCCCTAGATCAATGCGCAGATATTCATGGTTCCATGGCAGGAAGGTGTTTGAAAGCTGGAAGACTCTAGGCCTCACAAAAGAGAACCGCTTTGATTCTCTGGCGAGCCTTCAACACAGATTCATTCATTTTAATATATGGACAGTTGATGGAGAGCCTTTGAAAGCTCCATGTTACACTAACCGTTTCTGTTCTTTCCTTTACGTACGACTTATTACTATTTGTTATTCCAGCACAAATGTTTTCTTTGGGCACAATTAGTTTATTGTTTATTAGTTTGTTCAGATGCACCAAGCCCATCGGGCCGTAGTGTTGATATACAGGGATTTTGTTAAAAACAAAACAGTCAAACGGGTGTAAATTGTGGATTTACCTGGATAATTGGAGTCTTGGTGAGTGTATGAGACCAGTCCGGTGTGTGTGAGACTGAATCTAAGTATTATGCCCATGGTTGCTGTAACAAAAGAAAATTAACACCCAATTTGAATGTGTGGCTCATTTATATATTTTTTTTTATTGTTTTGGCTAACAGTGGAAGAAACCTCATCAATTATTGTTGGTTCATTGATTATTTGCAGTCTCTCAGCTTTTATACTTTAGTTCCAACCTTTGACTTAATAGCCAATGTGTTAAAAGAAGGGAGATTTAAAGCTTGCAATACATATATAATTTATATATCATGTACAGTACACAGTTGTATTTTTTGATGTAATTCCATTAAGGAGTCAGGCTGCTAAATTATGCACCTGAGCTGGTTTAAGTATCAAGAGTCCATTCTTTCACTCTGAAAAGAATTTTGTTCAACGTTCCAGTTTGCTTTGAAATACTACATGGTTAGATATAACATATAGTATCTAAGACAAAACCATTTTTTGGACTCAGTTTGATGGAATTAAGGTTGATTTACAGCGCAGTTCTGAAACAACTCCAGATTTACTCCAATTACTATTCATCAAATTATTTCATTAAGTTATTTTATTTGCCAGATTAATCACCGTAGAACAGACATTTTATTTAACTTGCGCCTTGCCAATCGGATTCGCCTTTTCTTTTCCATCTCACGGGACATTGTTAGACATGTGTTCCCAGAGCAGTACACAGTTATCACCTAATTACACTCTTTTGCACTCGCACACCTCACATCAAACACAAACAGCAGGTAGGTGTGACATACTGCAATGAAATGATCAAGGTTAGTCATGCAGGTATTTCAGGTTGTGAGTGTCTTCTTCTTCGTCGCAGAGAGTAATGAGTATCTCAGATTTGTTTATTCTGGCTCTCCTAGCAACCCCAGCCTGCAGCACATTTGGAGCATGAGTCAAGCAGCAGACGAAGTAGGAGCTTCTGCGCACATTAACAAGCTCTCAAGAAGATACTGCACAGGTACATTTGTGTTATCCTTTTAAAAACAAACTTAAGATGGAATCTGGAATAAATGTGTTTTTCTGGAGACGCTTGATCCATATAGAGAGTAGAATACTGCATGGATGTTCTTAGGTAGGTAAACCAACATTAAGCAAAAAAAAAAGGCACCTGGAAAGTAAAAGAGGCTGTCATGAGCTTTGATATAGACAGAAAACATAACATAGGAGACGCTTACTTTTATGTCTGTCTTTTCCTTCATTACAGGTAACCACTCCATGGCTGCACCCTGACACTATCATCTGTTCATCCCCTCTGCCCCAGCCTCCCCCCTCTTATCCAGCTCCTCTCCCCTCCTCCTCACCCTGTGGCCTATTTATACCCTGGAGACTCGAAGCAGTCTATTAAAGCCCACGGACCTGTTCAGAAAAAGACTCCAGTAAGCCTAAATTCCCCGTTTATCTTATCTCCGTGCTCATCACCTTTTCCTGAACATCCGTAAGTGAGGAAAACTAAAATATCAACAAGTGCTTTAGCCTTCAGATTACAAGCTGCAAGGACAGTTTAAGCTACAGCAGATTTTTGGAAATTCTGGATGAAGCATGAGCTTGGACCCGCTGATTTTCACTCATTTAGTAGAAAAGCAGTCTTCCAAGTTAAACCATGCTTATTGGCTCACTTGTCTATGTGACTTTGGTAGATTTCGACAAGAACACTAAAGGACTTACCTTCTAAATGGAAAAGGATCACACATTCAAAGGTAAGTCAAGGCTTCTGTCGCATGCAAATTTGCTTTATCGGTTTTCATATCGAATCCATCATAGTACAGCAGAACCAGGATAGTAGGCTATATGCATAAATTCAAAATTGATACTATCGTGCATACGTTTCGCGTTCTCATTTCACATCACGCAGATTATGTCTGCAATAATATTATTGCTGTTGTGAACATATTGTAAAAGTGTGGAACAAAACAGTCTCACAGCATCTGCTAATAAAAATAGAGCACATATTGAAGTGGGCATCACATTTATGATATATTACATGTATTTTTAGTTTTAGGAATGGAGACACAAACATTATAGTTATCATAATAGTTTAATCTGCATTTAAAAAAATTACTTTAAAGGTGATTCTGTTAAGAAAAACGGGGTATTCAAAATGTACTGAGAAAAATTTATTTTTTTAAAAACAGCTTTTTTTTTTTTTTTTTAAAAATTCTGTATCCAGTCTTGCATCAATTCCTGCTATGAACTAAGCCCAGACCGCCTTGTGTGTCACCTGCAGGATGACTGCAGTCTACCCCTCTGAGAGTAGCCCGGAAGGGGCTGAAGCTGGGAGTCAGACAGCAGGCTCTAAGGGGTCAGGAGCAGGAGGAACCACTGGGACCAGCTCAGTAACTGGGGTCAAGAGCGCGGATTCTCATGGAGACTCGGTCCGAGGTTCCATTGGAAGCACGGTGGCCTCTACTAGTAGCAGCCAAAGGAACGCCCGCTGGAGCCGGCAGGACAGCTCTGACATAAACACAGATGATGAGGGAGCCACCGTCCGCCGCCTCACTCCCCTGGAAAGGCTGAACCTGGATATGTGCCAGGATGAAAGGTATGGTGATTGTAAGTTACATGTTATATTTTTCATTGTGGGTTTTTTCTTCTTTTTTTTTACTTGCCAAATTGTGAAAATTGGTGTTAAATGCTTTATTATCTAAACTGGTGGCAGGTTGGTCCGTGAGCTAACAGTGGGCAGAAGAATCGGCTTCTACAAAATTCATGGAGAGCTCGGGTGTGGAAATTTCTCCCATGTTAAGCTGGGAATTCATGCTCTCACCAAAGGTAAACCCCACTGTGAAACGAATGACTTGTAGCAATATTTACAGACAGCGTCACATAAAAACATCGCCTAAACACATTGGAATAAAAAAACAAGACGCATAAGCTTCCTTTTATTACGGTGGCTTCTTATTAGACCCAATAAGTTGGGTGATAACCTGTTTCCATTAATGGGCTGCAACACTACCAAATGTGTGCTTATAGCAATTTACTAACATGGCGATTTGTGCCTGGCCAGGGGGCTGATTCAGCCACAAAGAGACAGACTGTCTGCTGCCCTTGAACAGATGGATTGATTAGAGATCTCCAGTTTCCTTAGCGACGGCTAAAATTGCTGCATGCCTCATCAAAGGCTACAACGGCAGAGGAAAATTAGTGTAGCTTTGTTTGTCTGTGTGTGTGTGTGTTTGTGTGCGTGTTCATGCATGTTTGTTTTTTTTTTTACCATTTAAGGTTTGTGCGTTTTTACTCTGTGGCTGGCTCTGGTTCTGTGTGTGTGTGCGCGCAATGTTTAGGTCAGTGGTGTCATTTAGTCAAAACACAAAATGAGCTGCAGTGCATTTTAAATGCTCCTATTGAAAGCTATGTCACAGCTGAAAGAGAGTCTAATGCCAGCCTTAATAATGCATACTGTAGCACAATTAGATATCTCAACACCATTTTGCCACTTAAGAACTTTTCTGTATTCAGTTACCTGAGGTCTACTTTATGCATCTCTATGAATCATTTAACGGAACACAGCCAAGATATCAGTTTTTCAAAATTCAGAGTGCATTTGATCATTGTAAACCTGCATTTATTTATTCATTTTTAAATTTGAATTTTGATTTTTAACAGTGCAGCTAATGTAGCACTCTATTCCAGTCTTTTTTTTTTCTTTTTTTTTTTTAACCCTTTGCCATCCTTGGTGTGAGCCTACATATCTACTGAGACTTGGAGTAATTTATGACTGTCTAAGAAAATAAATCATATGACCCCCCTGGAAGAATATAATCATGAAAATTTAGTTCAGGATCAGCAAAACTTTCATCTCAGTTATCCAGACAAGAGTGTTGTTTGAGCTGCTAAGTGGAATCAGGCTTACATTGTCTATCATCAGTCTACAAAAGATTTATGTAACAACTAATTTAAAATTTATTAGAAAAGTGATTAAAAATTCAACCTTTTTTTTTTTCCTGTGTTGAGATGTATTATGTGTACAGCAATCAGTGACCAAATGTCTCCTTTTGCATCGCTAGACAAAGTGGCCATAAAGATCTTAGATAAGACCAAGCTGGATCAGAAGACCCAGCGGCTGCTGTCCAGGGAGATCTCTAGCATGGAAAAACTACACCATCCCAACATCATACGCCTCTATGAGGTATTTTGGACTTTCAAGTGTCTTTCTAATGCCATTGTGCTTTTTTGATCATTAAATCTATCTGACATCAAGTACTTTTCTGCTAATGTATTCTAACATATGTACTTGCACTGTATGTGTTTAGGTGGTGGAGACTTTGTCACGTTTGCACCTAGTGATGGAGTACGCAGGCGGAGGGGAGCTCTACACCAAGATTACTACAGAAGGAAAGCTTTCTGACACTGACAGCAAGTTTGTCTTTGCTCAGATTCTTTCTGCTGTTAAACACATGGTCAGTGCATTTACGTTTATATTAAAATTGTCTGATAATATAAAATCTTGATAGTCATATCACTTTGACATCTATAGTGTTGCCTGTTCTCTGCTGCTACCGTGACCTGAATAAGCCAGTGTGTTCATCTAATCCTCTAACCTATTAAATGTCATATGACAATTTCTGTCAGTGCTAATTTTTTGCACAATAGCTGTGTAATGATTCATTACTTGTAACCAGCACTTTCACTCTTTTCATGTGCACCGCATTTAGATTTTAGTCATTCATTCTCTCTCCATCTGCAGGTTGTCAAAGAATAAAAATAGATGAAAAAAAAATATTGCATTGTAATATTTCACTAGAATATTTAATATGTGGAAGAGCAGTTCACATGCTGACACAGATCGACGGAACTGTAGTTGCAGCTGCCATAACTAAATCCTACGAGACAAAATAATTTATAAAGATCTGTTCTTGATATCAGGATGAAATATTCAAGAAGTAACAAGGAGCAAAACACGTTTTTTAATTCGAGATAGACACGATGCTTCTGCTGCTGTTTTCACTGTGTCAGGTTACATGAACAGAGGTGGCAAAAGTACAGACTTTCTTTACTTAAGTAGAAGTACAGATAACAACGAACACTCAGTCCTTCCTCTACAGTTAGATTTTCGATTCTCATATAATATGATCTTCTTTTTGTTCTCCCACAGCATGAAAATAACATCATTCACCGTGACCTGAAGGCAGAAAATGTCTTCTACACCAACGGCTCTTGCGTGAAGGTGGGGGACTTTGGATTCAGCACACTGAGCCGCCGCGATGAGACACTCAACACATTCTGTGGCTCTCCGCCATACGCTGCGCCTGAACTCTTTAGGGATGAGCATTATGTTGGCATCTATGTAGACATCTGGGCCCTAGGGGTGATGTTGTTTTTTATGGTGACAGGCACAATGCCATTCAGGGCGGACACTGTGGCCAAACTAAAGCGGTGCATCATGGATGGGGCCTACGTCATTCCCTCTTGGGTGCCAGATGCATGCCAGAGGCTAACCAGGGGAATCCTCCAACCCATACCAACTGACCGCTGTACAGTGGAGCAGATGATGGGCTGCGAGTGGTTGCTCCCCGTGGACCTCCCGCATGCCATGGAACCCTTTAAACTGGACCCATCCTACCTCGCAGAGAGTGATCCATCTGATCTCACAGAGGAAGAGATGGAGATAAAGTCTTCGCTGGAGGCACTGGGAATCACCTTGGAGCACATCCTGAACAACCAGGGCAAAGACTGCAGGAGCTCCATCACTGGTGTCTATCGGATTCTGCTACACCGTTTTCACAAGAGACGGGTTGTCGAAAGCATTCCTGTGGTAAAACAGGCAGTCAGACCCACAGCAACAAGTAAAAAAGAACGACTAAAAGTGTACCGCAGTTTACGGCAGACATCTAAACTCTGTGCAATTCTGTGACAAAATTCTTTGCTCCGGAAATTTGATTAAGTTATGGACTTGGATGCATGGATTTATTACAAATAAAAAATTAAAACAAGAATATTTTCAGTCCAGTAGTATAAATTGAAATTATGGTATATAACCCCACTCAAGTCCTAAAATTGGTCTTTTCTTATGTCTCTGTAGCTATGTTGCTGCTGTCATCGTCTGTTTTTTCTTGCAGGGACAGGAAATCTCAAGAAATTTGAAATGTTCTGAAATCTCATTTATCCAAGTCAGCATAGCAATGATTAGATGGCATGCAGAACTTATTATTTGGGTCATGCAGGCCATATATTTCTAATTCACACTTGGCCTACGCTTAGTTGTGTTGTAACAACAAGCCCTATGAGAATCACTGTAGCTTATTTTTTATGAAGAGACATAAATCCACAATATTTTGTTAAAAAAGTGGCAAAACATGCAGTATCTACACAAAATGTGTTTGTCTTAAATGTTTAATTGCACTTCTCCTCGATGCCTTAGTTTTTTTTTCCATCTGTTTATGAAATCAGACAGCCTGGTTTCATTGTACTCCTTAATGCTTGTGATGAGATAGTAAGTAGAGATTTTACATCTTATATAATACGTCTCTATGAGATGTCCCTGCTCTTAGACTGGCTGACCTCGGTATTTTCCCTGTGGCCTGAAAAAATCCACTAGATGACATTAAGCTATGAAGACCAACTAACAGTTAGTAGTTCACATGGCAAAATAAAATTTCAGTTTTGAGTGAAACGATTCTGGTGAGAGTTTGAATCCATTTGTCTTTTTATGATTCCGTGTCCATGCAAATGTGCTGAATGAAATAAATTTAAAACTAAAAATGCTGCTTTGTCTTCTTGATGTTAAAATTATTTAATGCTTATGGCTGCATGTGTGTGTGTGTATGTATGTTTTATAGCTGTAAATCCAAACAGACATTATATGCAGTGAATTCATATCATTATAAAATAAGTTGCTAATATGCATTGATGGTTAATTAATTTTCATTTGATTTATAATGATATCTTTTTGCCTTTTTACACCTATTTGTTATTTATTTGTTATGTATTTGTATTTATTTTTAACACCGAATTTTACATTTACCAGATTTATCTATTTATTTTTTATTTATTTTTCTATATGATAATTCCTGGTCTATTTATAACATGATCCGTACATTTGCTTAAAGAAAGCAGTGCAATTATCGCGTACCGGAGATACAAAACTAACTCTATTTCCCAGAAACGCCAAAGAAGACCACGTACTCATTTCCGCTTTTACGTGATGACGCAATTTTTGCCTCGTTGGAAGGTGGTTTTAGTAGGAAGCGGTCTGACGGTATACAGCGGCAGCTGAAAAAACACGAGTAGCGTAACCAAAAGACACTCGGACGCACTCAATTGAATGGTATTTCGTCTCTTGCCATCAAACGGTAAGAAAACTTATGCAAATCTTACCAGTTGTTGATGTTTCCCTGTGTTTTTAATGATACAGGGGACCACGCCCTCAGCAGAAAAAGATTATAACAGTATTATAAGGCTAATGTTAATGCTTGACCGGAATGCTGCTGATTCCTCGATGTTGGCCTAAGAAGACGTTTCCTGCCTTTTGACGATGATTACACTTTTGAGCTTCTTAAATTCATAAGCAAAAAAAAAATTATCACCTACGCAAACTTCTAGCTTAACTAAGTCATTTCGATCATGTATAAAATGGCTAATATAAATATCAAAAAAATATTAGTAGTATTATTTATATTATTGAATACCAGCATCCTGCATTTGGCGCACAGCCATTTTCAAAACCTCGGGAAACAGTGCAGCGTTCAAACAGTCGTTTCACGTTATAGGATAAACTAAAAATTATGCATCTTATTTATTTTGACACTTGATATTGCATTCAGACCCCGTGACAAAGGCATGGGGGCGGGGCTTACTATAGGATGAGGTCATGATAAAACCGTGGCACTGATGCAATAAGAGGCTACTATACGTGTTATCGGCCCCTTGTTAGGGAACTACATCTGCTTTTCATATACTTACACGGCTGACATGCATTCAATACAGCTATGCACCTGCAGTCTCCGCGTGGAGGCTAAGACAAAGTACAGAGCAGCATCCAGTGGATGTTTACTGGACCGTCACGGTGCAATGTGCCAACGCTGATGTATCAGGCGCACTTTGACCTGTTATAAAAGTCGTAGTATTTTGTTGGGTATCAGCACTTTTACACAGCAATCAGGGAAGGGAAGTAATGATATGAACTTTAATAAGCAAGCTAAGTCACGTGGCTACAAAACGTCACGTGGCTGCAAAACCCCAACAACAGAGAGATTCATGGGTCATTTAAAAACGGTTTGATCCATTAGAAAACATAATAATTCAATTGTAGAATTAACTGAGCCTCAATTTAAAATCATTTTAGGATCATAAAAGAAATTCCAGTAGACTTATAAAATCCTATAGAATTTTATCCTATTAAAGCCAACCATCCATACTCCCTTCTTCTGCTTATCCAGTTCAGTGGTGAGGTCGGGGTACACACTTGACAGGCTGCCAATCTGTCACAGGGCTAACACATAACCATTCACACCTGTGGCCTATTTAGAACCAGTTAACCTAACCCAAACTTCTAACAAGGTGATCGCACAACTGAACTGTAATACACTCTATGAACTTTGTTGTAAAATTGCTACTCTCAATATTCCAGACAGTGATATTATACTTCTGTTTTAGCAACATAACTTCTATATACATTAAAATGTTATTATTACCAGATATTAAATATGCTATCCTCTGTATTTTGTTGTTTATCTGCAGATGTCAATAGCAGAAGATCTTCCGGACATGGATGGAGCAGACCTGTTTGGACTGCTGTTCCATGATGGAGAGAATGGATCCACTGAGCCCTTCTTTCCTGATGGGAATGGGCTCATTGAGTCATGGCTGTCTGAACAAGATGTAAGAGGAAGTTAATGTTGTTATTGAAAGTGGTTAGATGGCGATTTAATGCATTATCTGAAGTAACTAGGTGCTAAAATGAGTCATGCTTTGGAAGCAGTAATATAAACATCTTTGAGTCTTAATACCAGATGTACTACATGGTAATACAGCTTCTTAAAGCCTAACAGTCTTATATGTATGTGTGTGTGTTTGCTTTAGAATTTAACACACCTTTGTCTCCCAGATGCTGCCAGATATGGATACTGAAGATTTTCTATCCAGCTTGTTAGATGGAGAGGACAACACGGAGACCATCTCTCCTTCCCATTCTCCACTGGGCAGCGACAGTGGCATTTCAGACGACAGCAGCTCCGGGGCTGGAAATAACAACCATGTTGGATGCCCCAGTCCTCATAGTAGTGATAGTGATGTTGTGCCCAGTCCCAGCTATTCCCAACCGAGCCCGGTGCACTCCGACCTTGCCGTGACATATTCAGAGGCACAAACAGAAAGCTTTGAGGCCTTAACAGTCCAAGCAGATCACAGCTACTCTCTGCTGCAGAGCGGAGGGAGGGATATGGATGTGCTGCAGAGTGTGAGGGCAGAGAAGCCAGATACAGATGTCTTCATTGATCTGGGTATTTATCATTTATTGAAGAACTACTGAAACTTTAACATTTTATTTTATAGTAGAATTTCAAATCTCTTAAAAGGATCATGAGATGTGGTCTGTGTGGAATTTGTGGGGGATGGAAGATTTAAATAAATAGTCTTCCTCTCACAGATGACCTTGTGACTGAGGCGATGGAGGAGGATGTCAGCAGTGAGCTGCCTTGCACTTTGGCCATAGAGGACTCAGTACAAGATACAACAGAGTCCATCAAAGAAGACCAGGTCAGTTTCTTTTCCTATTCTTATGCCAGACCAGAAGACCAAAGAGACTGTATTTGATGTTTTCAGTGATGTTTGACACATGTTGTTAACGAGATAAGAACACACAAAATTTCTAAAAGAAAAACTTTGTATTTCCCTTCTTTAGTTCCAGTTTAAAGAGATTGTGCTCACTGAGGAGGAGAAGCGGCTTTTGGCAAAAGAAGGAGTAACCATTCCCCAACACATGCCCCTCACTAAGGTAATTTTCACTTCAGGTGTTTTTGATATCTCTTTAGTCACATACTTTCTTTGTTGGGTGAATATTAAATTGGTCTTTCTGTGGCACAGCTGCTCAAAGCTGTTTTATACACATTGTCATCTGTCTTGTGAACGTGGTGATTGAAAGCCTGCTCTGCTCTGCTCTGCGTAACAGGCAGAGGAGAGGACTTTGAAGAGGATCAGAAGGAAGATCCGCAACAAGCAGTCTGCTCAGGAGAGCCGCAAGAAGAAGAAGGTGTATGTTGATGGACTGGAAAACAGGTGAGATACAGATGATAAATCAAAATCTTTAATATAATCTTTAATATATATTATTATTATTATATAGTTACTGACTCCAAGGATGTGGCTACATTGTTTCAGAATATCTTAATTATCTAAATATTTTGACTGACTACAGTGGAACCCCGACTTACGAATACCCCATTCAACGAAAAATTCAAGTTACGAAGGCACTTAACGGCAATATTTCTGCCCGTGTTACGGCAAAATGCCCACGTAACGAAATCTGCTGGCTCTGATTGGCTGAGCCCACAATGCCCACAATGCCTTCCGAATCATGTGAAAAACCCATGGCTTTCGTACTTGCGCTTCGCTGTTCCACTTGAACGACGTATTGTTGTTGCAGTTAGCAATTAGCCTATAGCCTATTGTTCACTCAAAAGGCGCGATGGGTGCTTCGACTTACGAAAATTTTCGACTTACGAAAGACCCTCGGGAACGAATTTCTAAAATCATGGTCAATAAATTCTCTAATTGACTAAAATCAAATTAGCAGAGAAGAAATGATTTTTAATATAAAGCAAACACTTGTGTGCCTGATTCTTGATAAATACTAAATAATGAATTGATTTCTGTCACAGGGTGGCCATCTGCACTGCACACAACCTGGAACTACAGAAGAAAGTCCAAATGCTTCAGAAACAGAACATGTAAGAAGCCATTTCTTTGCTTCTGGGTTTTTACATAGTCGGGTCAAGATTCTGAATCAGTTACATTGAACACGTCCTCTTGTTTTTGTGTTGTTTTTTTAAATAAACAGGTCATTGATTGAACAACTGAGAAAACTTCAGGCTATAGTGAAGATGTCAACCATGAAGGCCAGCACAACCAGCACTTGTGTTATGGTAAATTTGCTTTTTTTTTTTCTCAGTGTGAAGGTCTTTGTCACTCTCTGCTATTTTTCTCACTTTTTCATTGGACTTTCAGGTTTTCCTGCTCTCCTTCTGTCTGATCATCTTCCCATCAGTCAATCCGTTTGGTGGAAACACCCAAACAAAGGAGCTCTACACACCCTCCTCAAGTGAGTTGTATATAAATATCAAGTCTGTCTTTTATTGTATTTCAGCTATCCTTGCTGTACCTTAAGATATGCATGCTTTAGTTAATAAGATAGCTGATTTCACAAATGAAATTTCCGGCAGTGTCGCCTAACCTTTGTAAACTATCTTTTCAATCATGACTAACAGTCATCTCCAGGGGCCTGCGATCACTGCCAGCTGAAAGCACAGATGCCGTATCCTCCTCTGAGGCTAAAGAAGGTTTGTTAGTTCAACAAGTAGAGGTGGATAATGTTGAAGCAATCTTTGCGGGCAGTCAGAAGAATCACACTCCTGACTATGAGAGGGTGGAACAACCTGATTCAGAAATGGGCGTCAACAGCAACTCTTCGGCAGACTTCCCGACTCCTGCTCAGGCAGCAGAGATGAAGCAGGGGCCAGCCGGGGCATTACAGGAAGGATCCATCAATGGTGTAGTGGCGTCTGGTGTCGCATATAATGCAAAAGCTTCCAAGGACGCCTGGATAGACCGGAATCCTCCGTCTGTCATATTACAGCAGCACCGCTCTGATGAGATGTAGTAAGGACATGTTGTTCAGTATAACCAGCAGAGGGAGCTGTATTCCTAATGATTTGGGTGCCAGAGGGAACATTAATATTAAAAAAAGGGAGAAGGGAATAATGCAGTTATTCTTCCAGATATAAGATCCATCTTTTCGTCCATGCTTTTCCCTTCTGAAAGTCTTCTACTAGTTACTTTATTTGCACTTTGTTCTTGTTTCCCTTCTCCAGCAGTCAAAAGAAACTGGGGAGATATTTTCATATTTCAAAAGGACATTGCAGAGATTAAACAAATGCCTCCATTACTAGAGGGCACATGCTACTGAGTTAGCACTGAGAGCTGTCAAATTATCGTACAACATATTGAGCTTTGCCAAAATTTGTGCATTTATTCACCAGCACAGGAATAATTGAAGTGAATGGGCAGTAGATTACTTAAAGACAGACATGAATTGATGGCCCGACTGTCACTAAATCTTGAGTGAGTTTATCTGAAAATGTCCAGCAGATCTCAGTGCTAACATATGCTGCTTATCAGTGACTTCCCAAAAATCATACTTATCATAGCCATAGTAAATTATTATGAAAAGTAGTGTAGTCGTTTGTGCTGCAAACTAGTCAGCAACGTTTATGAAGTAGTAGAAGATAGAGTGCTTGATTCTCATGAAGCTTGATCACCGTGGTTGTTTGACCACAGTAATGCTTAAGCCATTGCAGGACATTTGGCCATTTTAAAGACTTGTAAAGTTTGTCATTATCTCCCTTGTAACAAGGGTATCCATGCTCCTTTTAATTTGTGAATGCTTTGTTTTTATGTTGTACAGTAAAGCAACACAAAATGTGATAAAAGAACCTGAATCCTGGACTTAACCGTTGTTGGCTAACCAACTCTGCCCCTGCGATCTTCTCTTTTATAACTTCTCTGCACAATTCTTACCTTCGTAACCTTGACTGGAATAACTTAGCACACGATGAGCAGAATGAGGGGTTTGACTTATTTGCTCAGCAAACTTGCAGTAAATATTGCTCCAAAATGTTATGACCTGTTTTATCAGTGATGCATTTTTTATTTTTGTGTATTTTTTCTTTGTTACTGTTGGTATTGTAAATGGTATCGAGGCTACTTTTTGTTATACTTGACAGGCAATGAGATTTTAAATGTTAATCACTTTGAACAAAAAGCACTCGCATTTGGTGTAGTCCAAGAATGACATGTAAATATAAAAAAAAAGTGATTGTAGCTCTTTATGTACATTTGAACACTTTATGTATAAGACATGTCTGAACAACTATAATAAACTTTTTATATGTCAGAGTAAATCATCGTCCATGTCGTTGATGCAGAGATGCAGATGTGAAAAAGAAAGTATACTTTCTGAAGTCTAAGGATTTATGTCTCGGGACATCAAAAATGCAGAAAATGGATGAAAAGGTAACTGTGGGAAATAAGAGGGTAGGTAGCAGCCAAGTGCTGCTAATTGCATGCAGTTGATTGACTGATCACGAGCAAGTTTGACCACTTGAGGTCATCCAGGTGTGTTTTAACACAATATCAAAGAAGAAAACCAAAAGCAATGATCTTAAAAGCGCAACTTCTGCTGCCTCTGCTGAATGCCTCTTCTCTAAGAAACAACATGGCAAGACAGCCAGGGGTAATGATTTGGATACAACCACAGAACCAGTCACCTTTAAGTCACTGAGTTGGCCGTGAACTCTTTTGTATACTGAAGTATAGAGACAAATCTGAGGCCACCTGACTGACAGCTATAGCTTGGATGAAACTGGGTCATGCAATAGAATAATAGTCCCAAGCAGAACAGCAAATCTACAAAAGAATGACTGAAAAAGGATAAAGGTGTTGCAGTCCAGATCCGACTACAATGACGTGGTGGGAACCTAAAGTGCAAAAAATGCCTGCAAATCTCAACAAACTGAAGCAATGTTTGTGAAGAAGATTGGGCTTAAATTCGACCACATTGATGTCAGAGGCTGATACAGAAAACAGTTATGTAAAGTCATTGCAACTAAAAATACTGAATCATACGGTGTATGTAGATTTTGCACACACACACAAACACGCACACACAGTTAAACAGCGTAATAAGACATGTGTTGTTTGTCTGAGGAAGGATTTAAATATTTTTAGAAACTGGTAAGCACCAGACTATTTTTTTTTTTAATGTCCTGATAGTAAGACTAAGACGTAAACAAGGGTTGTGAAAAATAGCCTGTTACCAATTCTAGTCAACCCACTTACAGGAGATGGATTTATTTAATATTCTCCACTCACTTTTCTACCTATCCAGCTTTTCTGCAGGTGTGCTGTGCAATTTTGTAGCCACATTGGCAGAGAAACGAGGACTTACAATCTCACAGGTATAAACTCTCACTGGAATTGTTTGCCACACCTTTTAACATAGTCAGGTGTTTTCCTCGAGATCACATGAGAGATATTTCTAACGTATTCTCCAGTGGGGTTTTCACAGGCACTCTGGAATTCCCCCTATTATATAACCTTATCCAAATCTTCTGACCTGTTTATTGTTTGTCTTAGCAGACCACTTTATTGATTTATATGTGAGTAAAATGCGAATGTATGCATGGGTAATCCTGTTCTAACTATATATTATGTAAATTTACCTTTTATTATTTCTTTCTTTTTTTTTCACTTGCAAATCTCTTGTTTTTGTACCCCCTTGCTATTCCTGCTCCATGACTGGAAAACAGTATTTGTCTGACCTCAGCTGTGTGGAGGGTAACAGCACAGAGACTGGTTGGTGACTCACTATTGTAAGGCTGGAATCATGAGTCATGTGGCTTATTCAACATGTTGAGACAAGTTGTTTAAAGGACACGCCAGCAGGTGGAGGTGTAAATCCAGATTTGTGACACAAAGCCCTCTGTTTACTGCGGGCCAAGTTTGTTTTCATCAGTTGACTGTGTAGGCTAGATTAGGTTAAAGGTCATTCCGTTATCATGTAGCCATCTTTTTTGCCTCCAAACAAATGTCAGCTTGGCTTATTATTTGACTCACCATTTAACATGAAACAGATCACGAAAACAACCTTTAACAGAGCGCGTTATTCCTGTAATTAGGCCCATTTGTGGGCACGTCTCACTTGTTAAGAAGATATTAGACCCCTTAGATAGATAGGAGAAGTTGTAAAGTTGTGAAGTTTTTGGTAATTCATTCACATTCAGTGCTCATTAACTGCTCACACGTGGACAAGTTCAGACAACAACCCAGTTACATGCACGGCCTCGCTGCGGTCGCAACATCTGTCGGAAAAAAGGGACTGATGATGAATGTAAACGCGTGCTTATCCCACCGATAAGATAAACTGACCAGAAAAGGCGCCTGGCTGCGACGCGTGGCGCTTTTTTGGGAAGGGCCCGTGCGCATCTGTCGGGCATCTGCCGCAGGGCACTGAATAGATCTGGGTAATAAAACACGCAGGACGCACACACATACTGATCCACATCCCCCAGCGCCATGGAAAGTCCGGAGACAGGTGGAGGGATGTATAGTGATGTTGTGTGGCGGAACTGCACTTTACCTCTGTGCAGAAATGCCACGCGCCCCAGACAAACTGTTTAAGCCTTTGCTTTTTCAATGGGCGAAAAAAAAACAAAAACAAAAAAAAAACTGGCGTGTGGCCATAAGCTGGTTGGCCAGTCCCACAAAACACATCGCCACCAAGAATTCTGGTCCTATTCGGGTCAGGACAGGCTTGCAGATTTTCCTTCCGGGGACATTTCGGTAACTGCTGGGCAGACTGTAAACACATGAGCACGTTGAGTAACAGGTTAGTAGGGTATGACGCGCCAAGCAGGTGCACCAGGAACCGGCTGTTTATTAAGAGCAATGGAAAGCTGCACAAGGAAAGTTCGGATAGATGATATATATAAATATCTCCCCAGTGACTCTCCAGACTGGGGAAATCCGCTACTCCGCTAAAGGATTGTTCCAGAGTTTATCACACATCAAATTAATCGTCGCTACTGTTTTAATGCGGCTCACCCACAGGAAAAAGATCCGCCAATTTCCCCTCGGCTAATCCGCACACTCAGTTCTGTTGTCACCTGTAGGATAGTCTGAATTCTTCTATGCCCACTGTGGAAAAACACGAGGCGTAATAGTTACATAATTCCAAAAACCGGGGATGTTGCTACGAAATGGTAAATAACGCCTCTGCAAACTATGATAATAATAATTAATAAAAGAGAATCTCTCAGAATGTCTGCGGTGTGACTTATATGTTTTCTAAACATCATAAACATGTCAGCGTGTCCAGGGGCAAACTGAAGCCACAGTGGTTCAAAACAAAACAAAACTTCATATCACCGTGTTGTTTGCAATGACTGTGAAAGTTCATCGTAAACATCACTTGTAGTTTTTGCCCTTAGTGGTGATGCTGGATGTTGACAAGAAAAGGAGAAATCGGGAGTGGGTGGGGGGGATTTCTTGAAAGGTTGTAATCTTGCCCCACGTGGGGTTGTCAACAAGATCAGTTCGACTGCTCGGGGACTTTTTTTCGCTTTCCTCACCAAAGCTCCTCTGAGCCAATGGTAGGAGACAGGATCGGAAAGACCGCCCCTTGCCGAGAAACGACGCCAAGTGCGGTATAAAGCCACCCACAGACTGTTCCGAGCTCAGAATAACGAAAGAGACTACACAGACAACTACACAGCCTTTTCTTAACACTGCAACATCCCGATCGCGCTTGGATTATAACTATGACTCTGGAAGAGATTCACGGACAAGAGAACACAATGGAAAACACTGATAGGTGAATATTTTACTCATCGATACAACGTTATTTAAGCTCCTGGATTAAAGCGTTGTAGCTGTTATTTTTGGGGAGGGTAATGTGATCAGTGTGCTGATGATGTATTTTTCTTTGTTAAGGGTGCAAAGTGCAGGCGCAGCCCTGGAGGAGCTGCTGATCGCTGCTGAGAAGCAGGACTACTTGACAGTTGGAGTTTACGAATCTGCCAAAGTCATGAATGTGTAAGTATTGCATTTCGTGCCACTTTCAGTTACATTTGCCCTTTAAAAAAACAGAAAAGAAAAAAAGTCGAGCACACGCACAGCAGGATATGCGCTAATCACCTTTCTTGTCTTTCCTACAGTGACCCAGACAGCGTGGCGTTCTGCATTCTCGCCACCGATGAGGAATACGAGTGTGACATTGCTCTTCAGATCCACTTCACTCTCATCCAGGCTTTCTGCTTTGACAACGACATCAACGTGGTGCGTGTCAATGATATCGACCGCCTGGCCGACCTCGTGGGTGCAGATGAAACCGGCGAGCCCAAGGACGCACACTGCATTCTTGTCACGGTACGTTCCCACTCAGTTAGGAGCTGATAGCCAGTGAATCATACATGCATCACTACCGTGTCTGACTTTCTTTGCATGTCTTGTAGGTGTTGCCACTTTTGTGACTCTAAATATCTCCCTCTTTTACAATTACAGAGCCCTAGTGCAAACCCATGGAAAGACCCTGCTCTGGACAAGCTGAGTGTATTCTGTGAGGAAAGGCGCAGTGTGTATGACTGGGTGCCCACTATCACACTCCCAGAGCGCTGAAGTGACACCCCCCTGAAGTTGCTTCACATGATTATGATGATGATGAAAAGAAAGTCAAGGAGCTGAGCTTCAGCTGGGGGCCTCATGCCTTTCTGCCTCACATGTCTGGATTAAGAGGCTGTGGCTGTAACTCCCCCCTTCTGCAAGAGCACACTCTTCCAGTGCATCCTGGGTGAGCCCGTTGGTTCTGGATTACCCTGTGCAAGGGTTCAGACCTCATGTGTGAACTTGTTCAGGTGTATGTGGAGTGGACAGAACGCCTGATGGACACTGAGAATGGAGCTGGACTGTACTGCATAGTACATTAAAGATGGCAAATGGTAACCCAGTGACTGCCCTTTAACAGACACTGGCGGGACTAAGCAGAGAAGGTCACAGAGAGCGATACTGTGCAAGAGATGGACTTAAGAAAGTGGACTGGACTCGTCAGAGGGGAACAAGTCAGGTGCAGATCCAGAAGAAGGTGTCTGAAAGTGTCTAAACAAAGGACTTTTCTTTATGAGTGCAGCTGTCAGGAAGTTCTTGGAATAAGCAGAAACTGCTTGCAAATCCTGATGTAAAGCTGACACTTTTCTTAATGGACTATTCAGTTTTCTTTCACATATGCAGACAGAGCAATGCAGTATTGATTTGTGTTGTACTGACTTGAAATGCTTTGTGAATAAACATTTGGAATCAAACTCATCTTCTCAGAAATCTCATTTTCTCCTTTACATTTAGCTACACAGACATTAACTAACACCTAGGGTGGCACATAATGTGGGGCGTCATGGCAGACTGCAGTGATGCAGAGGTATCAGGAAAGTGTGGTGCTACTGGTTACAACTCTGCTTCACAAGAAGCTAATCGCACAATGTGGGTGGAAGGAAAGTAAAGATCAAATGATTAGGTGGCTGAGAGAGAGAGGGAGAGAGTAAATGAAGAAAAGGGAAGCTAAAAGTTATAATGTAATGATGATTGAGATGTGGGGTTTTTGCAGGCACTGACCTTTTACTGCTGATAGACTAGCTGCCTTATAGCACAGTGCACAATTACTTAGGCTGGAACTGAAGCCTGTGTGTGCATGTGTGGCTAACTACTAGGTCAGTAGACAGTGGAGTTAGTTGTAGTTTTGTACATTCAAACAAATTTGTTAAAAATTAATTTAACATTACTCTTCTCATGCTTGATTTTGATTTTAAAAAAGTCAATTTTCAACAACGTAGAACTTATGCATAATACATGGTAACAAATCTAGGGAAGGTCTTCCGATTCCTGCAGCCACGTGCACATTGAAAATTATACCGAGATGAGAGCTGCAGCTGAATGAGGGTCAGCAGATCAACAACGGCAGGTATGGGGAAGTGTGTGAGTGCTGCGGTCAGCTCAGAGCTCAAGCTGACAGTAAAAGGTAGCCCACATCAAAGAGAAACCAGACTTCAGAGGAACTCATTTCGATTTTCTTGGCAGCAACTCAGTCGCCAGCCAACCGCTGGTCATTCTCTGCATGTGTACTCGCATGAGCACACAGGTGCACACAAAGCAAAACAGGCTACTGCATGTGCACAATCTTGCACAAAGTTATGCTCAAGATCATGCATAGCACACATGCACACACAACCAAAGGATGCTGTGTTAGACAGATGTCAGGTGATTGCTCAGTGTTCTCAGAACAGAGGAAGGTTCACTCAGTCAGAATTAAAGAAGAAAAAAGAATGCAGGCTTGTATCTGGGGGACTTTCCATGGGCTTTAATATCTGCACTAGTAGGCATATGGGAGACTTGGGAGAAATTACCATAAATGCTAAATGATAAAAACTAGTCATTTTATTGCATGTGCTGTCAAAACTGTAGATTGGGACTTAACAGCCTTGTGGGACAACAGTATGAAGACTAATGTGGTTGGTGATCACTTGTTGTCTGTGGTTGGTGTGCATTGGATTCTGTGATTAAACATGAAACCTAACCATATCTGAGTGAGAAATGATTGTCCCTACCTATAAAAGTCCCAGCCAAGTCACAGGTCAGACGAGGAAACATGTAAAACATTTATAAAATAATGACAGAGGCCTGAAAAAAGAATTAATTTTTTTCTTTATTTTGCACACCTTTCCAAAAGCCTCCAAAAGATTTGAGGCTTTTTGTCCAAACAGGTCAGTGTTCTTCGTGGAGCCCTCTTTGTTTTCTGCAATGAAAAAAAAAAAAGCCGCAGCAACAGCAGACACAGTTGTGTCTAATTTTGACCTGTTTTTGCAAAAAGCAATATTTAATGCCCCAGATAAATCAAATCAAATCAAAATCAAATCAAAATTTATTTATATAGCACATTTAAAAACAACAGTTTTGATCAAAGTGCTTCACAACTAAAAAAAAAAAAAAAAAAAAAAAAAAAAAAAAAAAAAAAAAAGATAAGACCTATTTTATCAAGAATATAAATGTTGGCCTGAGTAAACAAAGTGTTGTGTTCGTATAGCAGTCATAATTAAGCACTTAGAGTATTGTTGACTAAATACTTGACCTAGTTTAGATAGAAGCTGGTATAGATCTGATTTTTCTTTGTGCTCTCTAAAACATGCAAGTATGCCTATCTCAGGCCTATATAAATAAACATGCCTATATCATGCATAATATAGGCCTAATTCCTTGGGCTTCAACTCATACAAGCACTATGCAAGACTAGAAAACAGCGACATGCTTGTATTTATTCTGCATTCCTTTTGGGTACAGGTATAATATGTGCTACAAGAGAACAAAAAAACTAGCTGCTGGAAAGGACTTCTTGTCTTTCCTGCTGCTATTTGCACGGTAGTAACAAACATCTTCTCCCTGTGTTGACTGGGGTGCCAAAAGCCTGGAGCAACAGTCCAGACTGCTGAGGCAGCCGACTGTCTGCACAGAGTCTGAGCCAGAGATCTAGAGCCACGATAGACTGAAAGTGAAGCAATGAGACCAGACAGATGTAGTCTGACTTGGGAATATTAGTGTTTTCAGCTGTGACACAGAAAATGGTAAACAGAGTAGTTTGAGTAGTAGTTTGCTTTTTAAATTATTTTAATTCCAGTAAGACTATTCACTGGACTTATTCTACACGAGGGCACAACACTTAGCCAGGAAAGACATTTTCTCTACCTGAAACTTTTAATGCTTTTTCCAAATGTTACAAATTCCACCTTGTACTGTAAGTAGAATAAAAATGTCACATGTGTGTTTAATCTGTCCAAAAAGCTATGCACAGGACTTTTTCTGGGTCATTCCCCACAATGGCAAAACTCTAGATGCATTGTATAAAGCATAAAGCTTCAGATTGAATTGAGGTATAAAACAGTTTTATGATTTTATAACCAGCTCTCAGCAAAACAGTGCATTAGCTAAAATGGAAAGCTACTGGTTTTGAATGTGAGCTGTATTTGAAAGCAGAATTATTTCGAAATCATCTTTCCAACTTAGAAATAATTCCTAAACGGATGAATCTCCTTCATTTGACGCTGACACATTTGAACAAGACTGGCAGTTGGTAATGTGATAACCTTTTGTTCATCCATCCATTTTCTTCTGCTTATCCAATTCAGGGTCACAGTGGGGCTGGAGCCTATCCCAGCTGCCACGGGGCACCAGTCTATCACACATAGAGACAAAATACCATTCACACTCACAACTGAGGCTAATTCAGAATCAACAGTTAATTTAATGTGCAAGTTTTTTGGCTGGGGGAGGTTGAATTACCCAGAAAGTAACTCCACACGGAAAGGCCCCAAGCTGGCCGGTGGATTTGACCCCAGAACCTTTTTGTGTTAAAGCAACAGTTATAACCCCTGCATGACTGTTCAGCTGAAAATGTGAAAATGTGATGATGCTAACAGGGCCCTGCTTTCACCTGGCTAAAAGAAGAACAGTGTGTTGTGCTGTGATGTCAAAATATCTAAATGCTGCTTTTTTGCCTGGGGAAATGTTACAGCATGTTTTGCCATCCTGGGATACCCCAAACATTTGCAGGCTTATGGGTCAACTGTAAATATTCTGCCCTTCTCAGAGTCATTACTTTCACGGCTAACTCTCATATTCCTGCTTCAGTCCACTTACAGTAACCACAGCAAGATGAGATTACGCGGCGAGCTGGCAGGCAGCATCCCCTCTCACCCCACCCCACCCATCTCCAGCTCTCGCTCGCGCTTGGCCAGATATGGTACCATGAGATCACGGCCCAGCTGGCCCTGGCAGGCTGCGGAGAGAGATAGAGAGATAGCTAGGCTGACTGCTGGTGTTGGGTGTCTCTAATCTAAGTATGGGGTGTGTGTGTCACTCACTGGAGAGATGAGCTGCACCCTATCTACTTCTGCAGTTCACTGTTTCTCACCATGAGCTCATTCCACAGAAGTTATGTGATGAACCGGCACAACATGCAACTTTCAGAAGGCCTTAGATTGACGGCGCAGGGAATTTCACATTGCTGTGGTGGCCAAGGTGATTCCGTAACAACAATATGTAAACACACGTTTGGCTCCTGTTTGTGAAGAGTCACTATCAGTCTGTTAGTATGATATCACTCAGGTGGTTTTGAGGTTTCAGTCAGGCTGGGGTAGCTGTAAATGTCGAAGCGCTCACATGCTCACACCTGAGCTGGTGGGATGACCGCACCACAGCGACAGGGATGAGATCACATGACATAAACCTCTCAGTTGAGCGGTAATGATCGCACTTATCTTTCAGCAGAGCCTATAATCACACTGGGCAAAACAGCTGTGTGTAAGCAAAGGGGAGGGTGACCAGGTTAGAAGCACACCCACACAAACACACACCTGCCCTACACTATAAAGATCCACTGTGTCCCTTTGGGGGTTAGAGTGACACACACACACACATACAGCAGGTCATCGCAGATGAGCTCATGATACAAACCAAACTACTGTTAATATCAAATACCACACTTAAGTCTCTGGTGAAAGCCAAGAAGACCTTTCTCTCTCTTTTTTAATATATCAGCTGAGCAGAGATTATTTTTTGTAAAATTTAGAAGTGAATCCATCCACTGCCCACCATTTGTACAGGATGCAGTCATTTGGATGTTTGTTTTCAAATTGGTATGTCTGCAATTGCCCTGGGATTGCATCAGGGTGTTTGTTCAGTAGCAACTGAATGGATTGACTGGATGAAATCTGTAACTTCTGAGTGAAATATCTATAACATTAGCTCTTATTGCTTGTTTTGCTGTTTTCCCAGGGTTTCTAAAAAATATATTATATGACTCATGACACCAGTGACCTCATGCAAACCTCAGCAGTTAAATTTAGATCACATGATCCAAGTGCCAAATTTCTAATGTGATCGTGCCTGAAGTGATTTTTTTTTTCACAACTAATATTTGACATTTGTGAAAATACTTTAAGGTGAGTGTATTTAAGCTCCAAATACACAAATACAGGAGATCCAAGCATACAACAACAAGCGTTATGATGCCAAATCAATTGATCAGATGAGACTGCGGGTTTCGGCTTGCCTCTTTATATAAACTACAATAAGTACAAGTGACAAAGGCTATCTCAGGACAACTGAAACAGCTTACGGTCTTATAGTCTCATCTGGTTACATCAGACAAAGCAGGGGACATACGAGGAAAAGAGAAGAATAGAAAATGAAAGTAAGCAAAAGGAGACAAATATAGCACAAAATGCCATTAAACAAGGACTTTAGGTTAATTATTCAT